AGGTGAGATTTAGGACTAAATTCATCAGACAAATGCAAACGTCCAACATTGCAGCGACTCAAGTTGAAAGTGGTCACAAAAAATCCTTAGGAGGTCCCTGAACTTTTAAAGGGTATCAGAAACTTTAATGACGTGTAGAAATATAAACATATTTAATTAACAATATTAAAACAAAAATGGTATGCAACATAAGTAAATATTTCTCTCTATGTGAATGGATATGAATAATTTTTGAAACGATCTAAAACTGTTTTGCATGAGCTTTTGGATGGCAGGTTTCTATTAAAGATTGAGCTGAAGAGCTTCTCATTGCATGTCATTATTCTCTTTTTATCTCCATCCTGTTTCTATAGTGATCATCCTTTGTGCTGCAGACAGATGTGGATCTAGAAGCCTGATTATTCCTCTGTAGAGCGGTGCTGACCCATTTCTGTCTTCCACTTTGCTTGATTTGCTAAAACACGATCAAAGACATGTCCAAGTCTGGTGTAACATTAGATCTAAATGATTTATGCATACTGTAGTTCCATCTCATTACGGCAAGAATCCTCACTAACGTCTCAAAAGTCCATGGCTCCAAGTCTCTTTAGCCCATTTTATAAATATATATATATAAAAAAAACCTTATGATGAATTTATGCTAGATACTTCATCAGAGGAAGGAAAAGAAAACAACGAAAGGATGACAAAAAAAGAAAAACGGAAGCAAAGAAAAAGAAACAATTAAACGGATGAAGAATTGACAAAAATGGAAAAGAATAAGAAAATAAATGAACCAAAGAGAGACGGAAAGGGTGACTGAGACATTAGGGTAGTGATGCTACGTATACACTGGAAAAATGATCTACAAATAAGTAAAAATTTCTTAAAGTAAGTGTATTTAACCTTAATTTGAGTAGGTAAATGAGATAGTTTGCCAATGCGATGAGTATTTTCACTCTTAGAATAAGATAAATAGATAATATAAACTCGAAATAAGAAAATGCAATTGTGTTTTCTTATTTTAAATGCAAATTGTCTCACTTTCCTTCTCAATTCAAGAAAAAATTTTCTTATTTTAAGAGAAAATGACTTAGCTAGATTTAATTTTTTTGCAGTGTACTTAAAACTCAATATCAAAAAAATATTCAACACTTGATTCCATTTTAGATATCATTGGGAAATACAGTTACCGTACAAGTTAAAGATATAAATATTATTATTAATAATTCAATTTCAACATAGATTACCAACAGAATCACAAATGTTATTTAATTAAGTGTGCAAAGAAATGCAAAAATGATTACCCACTTAGGGAGTGAATTTTGTTCCATTACTTTGTCTCAGCTTTGAATTTTAATCATCAAGCCGTACCTCACATCAGAGAAAGTGGACATTTGTTAACTGTGCGGGCGCAGCAGGTTAAGGTAGGTGCTTCCTGAAGGGGGAACTCCTACATAGTTATTCTCCTTCACCTTCTTTTTACACTGCAAAACACGGGTGTCTAAATAAATAATCGCTCTGGGAGAACCTCCTCTTTGCTTGGGGTACACTGCGATCTGAAAAAGGTGCTCCAACACTTCAAGCGCACCCGTATTATAGACTTTCCAGAGCGAGGAGGAGGATTAACCGATAGAAGAAGCGGTTTAACCGGAGCAAATATCTGTCTAATATCCAACGTAAAACTAACTTCACCGCGGTAGAGTACAAGTTGCCTCGTCCAAACTTTGCAACACTGCTGGGTCAAGATCTGCTGACACTGTGCGATTTTTGCCTTTTTCGGGCCGACTTTCGAGTCGTGCGAGAAATTTTCAATCGACCCGACTTTTAGCCTGATTGTGCGTCCTGTTGTACACAGGGGATAACGAAGGGCGATCAGCCTTTCACAACCACCACCCAATTAGAAATCTTTGTGTTGGGAGAAAATCAAACATATTTGATTTTTTCAGTTGACTGTCGTGGGCAAATCGCTCAGTGTGCAAACAAGGATTCTTCTTCTTCTTCCTCTCAAATGAAAACACAGGAGAATGGCGGGGGTGCGGATAAAATGGAGTTCTTTCTGTCAAACTAACAGACCGTAGTAGCCACGTTTGCTCAGCCATGTCTTTGTCCAAATACGTCGTCGCCTTTTCTCCTTAGGGCTTTCAGCACAAAATTGCACAAATTGCCAAGGCAGCACGTTTCACTCTAGTGAGCTTCATATTCCTCTTCTACTCATTTGGCTTCTAGGTAGACGAGTCCGAGTAACGCCATCTCACTGTGGAGCTGAGTCCCACCTGGTTTTTAGACGTACAGTGTGAGCAGGTAGATCGCATCAGAGCGTCGGGTCACACAGTGTGAGCTGTGAACTTACACTGTACGAGGAAACTGCGGTTTCCTCGTGTTAAGCAGTCAAGACGATATAGAACATGATCGTTAGAAACTGTGTTATCTTCTGACAAATCAGCAACTTGTCCAAGTTAATCTGCTAGGTACTCCACAAGTTATCGCAACACCTTTGCCTGGAGCCAAAATCCAAGCATGCAAGCTCGTGCTCAGTAATCGTTTCCAGGGAGCTATAGTATAGTTGGGAAGCTTTGCCAGTGAAGCCGCCGCACCCCCCTCCCTCCTCGGTATTGTTTTAAAATTAGCAGCTGCTGTAAGACGACCAGGTGGAAATAGATAAAGTAGAAAAATAGGAGAAGGAAATAAAAAGGGCAGGCGGAAATCAGTTGAAAAAGTTAGAGGCAGAGATAAATCATTGTTTCCGAAATAGAAGGATGTTAAAATAAAATAAAAAAATAAATATTTATTTTTAACATTTATTTATGTGTTTTAAAAATGTTGGTGTGGATAAATATGAAACAATAAAAAAAGTTGCAGTTGAAATACGGAAAGAAAAAAACACCACTTGCAATATTATACAAACACAAAACAAAGACTTCAAGAAATGTATACCAGAAAATAAGTGGATTAAAAATAAGTCTGTAAATGCAAGAAGAAAAGTAAAAATCAAAGTGGAAGTTAAAATCTATATTTTTAGATGAATAATTGATCAATTGATGAATAAATATCTTTTTTTTCACATTTAATGGCACACTAATTCATATTATTAACTACTTATGCAAGCAATTTTATATTATTAAGTCCTTGATTTATTTCTGTATGTATTTTCAATTATGGCAGGATTGGTCCTCCATAACCTGTTGTCTGTCTGCTCATGAGCAAAGCCAGAAGGTAGGGCAGATAATCAGGTAGCACAGGTAGGCAGATCACTGGCTCCACAGCTTCCTCTTCTCTTCTTCCCACGGCTTGAGCGTAAGCAATGGGATTTAGACACTCTAGTTTCCTTTTACCTTCGTCTTCCATCATAGGAAATTTCCTAACTGTTTGACGGTTGTGAGGAATAGCTGGTAATATATTTGACTGCCAGCTGATGCAATCACTCCTTAGAGTACTGCAAAATGGCTTCTTCCTTAACAAAAAAAATATAGACAATGCTGTTTTTTTTCTTTTACATTTAATTTTTTTTTAGGTTTGCGATATAATTACTGATAATAGTACGAGACAATCTCAAGTTGGGTTGACTGTTTCAGTTCCACTTTAAGATTTTATTGTTAACTGGACAGAACCGTCTTTAACAGTTGCCTTTTGTATCTCTGCTTATTTTTGTATCTCTGCTTCTGTCTCCTTGAACCCCAGTCGGCCTCAGCAGATGGCCGTTCACACTGAGTCTGGTTCTACTGGAGGTTTCTCACAGTTAAAAGAAAGTTTTTCCTTTCCACTGTCGCTAGAAGCATGCTTAGTGCAAGGGATTGCATTCGAGTCAATGAGTCGATGCAATCAACTGGTTTTCCTTAGATAGAAAAATTTGAATCAGTCTGAGTGTATGATCTGGTGAACTGTAAAGTTCCTTGAAATGACATGTGTTGTGAATTGGTGCTATAGAAATGAACTGAATTGAATTGAATTTGAACATTTAAAATGACAAATTCTTTCTTCCAACAAGATTGATAATTTCGCATTTCTAAATGCTTTTTTGTTTTCTTGGATGGAGTAGTACATAAATCATTTGGGGTGTAAAGGTGAATGGGGAGCAGCTCATGAAATATTAAGCTTTATTTTGATGAAAGAATAGAATTATAGTAGCTAGAAGCGTTCAAAAGGTTTTACACACTGGAAAAATTTAATTTCAAGAAAATAATTTTTATCTTAAAATAAGTGCATTTATTCTCGGATTGAGGAGGTAAAACAGACATTTTGCCAATGAAACAAGATAATTTACACTTAAAATAATAAAACACAATTGTATTGTCTTAGTTCAAGTGCATTTTATCTAATTATCTTAAAAATAAAATACTCATTCCATTGGCAAACTTTCTGATTTACTTCCTCAAATTAAGGGTAAATACACTTAATTTAACAAATGTTTACTTATTTCTAGATAATTTTTCCGGTGCATGATTTTTTCTACAAACGAAGCAAAAAAAAACAAAAAAAAAAGATATCTAAATCAGTCATTTTTTTCTTAAAATAGAGAGAGACTTTGCCAATGGAACAGGACAAGTTATATACAAAACCTTATTGAACAGAACTGTACAAAACTAAACATTAATTCCAGACCCATCTCCCATCAACATCTACACTGCAAAAAATGTAAATCCAAATAAGTCATTTTTTCCCCTTAAAATAAGTGCATTTTTTCTTCAAGAAGTGAGCCAATGAAGGGAGATAATTTACATTTAAAATAAGAAAAAACAATTGCCTTGTCTTATTCCAAGTGCATATTATCTAATTATCTTATTCTATGAGTAAAAATACTCATTCCATTGACAAACGATCTTATTTACCTACTCATTTAAGACTAAATTAACTTAATTTAAGACATTTTTACCTATTTCTAGATCATTTTTGCAGTGAAAAGTTCTACTGAAACCTTTATTCCCTAACAGTTACCCACATGGAGGTGTTGGAGGTGTGGGTTTATTAACTGATGCTGTTTTCAGCTAAGAACAATCCTTCTCTGATCTGTAGCTGCTTACCCCTGCGGATGCTGCGCCTCAGCTTCCCACAGAAGGCGTCGAGGCGAGGCAGCTCTCCGCTGACGTCCTCCGCCGCAGCCGGGCTCAGCTCTGGGGAGCTGGGACCCCGGCTGAGGTCCAGAGGGGCTTTTGTGGAGATGGGAGGCGGCGAGGACACCCCAGAGGCCTGTGGGAGGCTGGGAGAGCGCGTGGCGGTGGGTGGAGGAGAGGAGAAGCCAAAAGGCAACCTGGAGGATCCAGGGGGAGGAGAGGAGATGGAGGGACAGTGGCTGGAAGTGGGAGAGTTGGCTGCGGATGAGGAGGGCGTCGTGGACAGGTCCAAGGCTCCGACTTTCACGCTGACGGGGGAGCTGAGGGACAGCTTGCGGCAGTGCACCGGAGAGGAGGTGCGGGAGGGGATGGATATGGGAGGAGGAGAGGAGAACTTGCGACACAGTCTTGGGGATTTGCCGTTCAAAGGGTCCGTTCCCCAGGCGCCCTGATTGGTGGCGAAGAAGAGCTCCAAAGACCTAAAAAAATTAATTATCTCAGTTAGTCTAAAGCTGTGATGAGGATTAACAGATCCCCCTCAGGTCTGACTGATGGTATGTACTTAGACTGGTCCAAAGCCAGCTGAGTGATCTTGAGACTGTAGTCAGGACAGAGGGACATGATGGACAGACGGTCGTATGAATGCTGCTCGATCCTGATAGAAATGAGAGGAAGATGATAGGGGGAGGTGAAGATGGAGACAAGAGAAGATGGAGTGAATGAAGAATGGACAGTTGGGCGTGAAGAGGGTAGAAACACTAGGATGGATGATCAGGGTAAAGTCTGAAGCAATGGGGCGGACCGACTGCGGACATGAGCCGTACCTCACAGGGATGGACGTGAAGGGCTTCTTGTAGATGTCGGCCAGCTTGTCGATGACGACGGCGGCAGTGGTGAAGATCCGGTAGGTGTGGAGGAAGGTGTTAAGGAAGTCGATGGAGAGGAAGCGCAGGTCCGTCAGGCGCTCCAGCAGCCGCTCCACGCTGGCGTATCTGATCTGAGGGACTTTGCAGGAGTTGAGAGTCTTGCTGAAGCAAATATCGACATCATCCTTGTGCAGCCTGGCGTCAGACCTTCGAAGAAAAACATTGTGTTAGACATAAATTCCAAAAAGAAGAAAAGTAAAAACAATCTACTGGACTTTCACTGGAAAAACGATCTAGAAATAAGTAAAAATTTCTTAAATTAAGAGTATTTACCATTAATTTGGCCAATGGAATACCAATGGAATGAGTATGTTTACACTTAAAATAAGATATTTAGATCATATGCACTCACAAACTAATAAGAATCAATGTTAAAATATTGAGCTTTACTTTGATGAAGGAATAGAATTATAACAGCTAGAAGCGTAAAAATTAATACATGGTGATTTTTTCTACATATATAGACTTTCCCTACTTATATTTTCTTTCTGTCACACCTTTTTATACAAAACTGGAGAAAACTAAACCTTTATTCCAGACTTCCATCCGCATTTAAAGTTCCACTGAAACCTTTATTCCCTTACAGTTACCCACATTAACGTGTTGGAGATGTGGGTTTATTAACTGATGCTGTTCTCTTCTTTGATCTGTAGCTGGTTAAACAAGACATAAATTATAGCCTTTGTTTTCTTTTTCCTTACTTTGGACACACTGGAAAAAATTTTAATCTAAATAACTAATTTCTTCTTAAAATATGTGCATTTTGTCTTGAACTGAGGAGGTAAGAGAGAGTCTTTGCCAATGGAACAAGACTATTTACATTTTAAATAAGAAAAAATAATTACATTTTCCTATTTTATGTGCATATTATCTAATTATCTTATTTCAAGAATAAAAATACTCATTCCATAGGCAGATCATCTTATTTACCTACTCAAATTCAGGGTAAATACACTATATTCAAGAAATTTTAACTTATTCCAAGATCATTTTTGCAGTGCAAAACATCAGTTTCATTAAGGCTCAATCTTACAATCTTAGATCTATCCAAAAAGATTAATTTCAGCTTATTTTGAGAAGGAGAAATATCCTAAGCATGTGCATGTTATTGAATTGCAGCATCAGATCATATATAATTAAAATAAGGATGAACACTGGTTAATCTTTCAAACATTGGTGCTGACTTCAAGGTGCATAGTCATGTTATATGACAATTTCTATGACAGTTCTATAAAGTTTTTTTTTTTTTCTGAAAGAGTACCCTCTGGTGTATTAGTTGTTGCTCTTGTGTTTTAAGCTTTTATTTACTTTAGTTTGTTAATAAATAAAGCCCTATGCATACAATAACAAAGGAGGTACGATACTGCGTATGTGTTCAGGGGGGTAAACAAGAAAGTAGCCTACAGTGGCTAAGCCTGTTAGCATCTCCCAGCAAATAATGACGAAAAGTGCAAAACCCAGTGTGATAAAAAATATTTAATTCCAGGAGGGATCAGAGTGAAACAGTCTGAGCGTTGAACTGCAGAGGAAGCTAAAGCTGCCGAGGCGTTCAGATGAGCTGCTGAATTAATAGACGTGTGAGTAAACTCCTTACCGATGCCTGGGATAGCAATGCTAACCTTAGCCTCTACAGTCTACAAACAAAAAATTTTATAAATAGATTGATTAGTTCTAATCTTGATACCGTTTCCGTGTTTGCATTTGTAATGCCTCTTTCCCACCGAAATTAGCGGGTTATCAAGGATTTTCAAACATGGGTCGACCTTTTAACAATCTGCATTTGGCTACCTTCACATTAGCAAAAGAAGCGGGGTTCGGTGAACCCAGCTGATGAGCTGCGTGGCCTCTGTCCCCCCTATGCTACTTGTCTGATGATGCTATCATGCTGGGTTAGAGTTGATGATGTCAGAAATCAGGAAAGTAAACAATGGAGAGCAACATGGAAGGCAACCAGGGCGTAGTAAGTGTGCTTTTTGTTTCGCTCTTTTGTCTCACCAGTGCAGCACCATGTTTATCAAATATAAGCAAAGTTATTTTTCCCTGCTAATCCGTGACCTCTGGCCTAAATTGTTTTTCATGTGGCTTTCTGATAGTTCTGTAGTTCTGCCAGAAGATGGCGCCAAGTCTGTTTATATCTGCTCAATGCGGCTAGTGCAAAAATTCTATCTAGGCTCTAAAAGGACTATATCAACCAGGCATCCCCAAAGTCGGTTATTGAGGGCCGCTATCCTGCAGGTTTTAGCGGTTTCTCTGCTTTAGCACAGCTGATTCCGATGATTGCAGTTCAGCAAAACCCTGTTAATCAACTATCAATGTGAATCAGCTGTGCTGGAGCAGGGAAACCTCTTAAACCTGCAGGACAGTGACCCTCCAGGACCGACTTTGGGGAAGCCTGATATAAACACTACAAAGACTGACACTAGTTGTATATAACTTTATTTCATCATGGTCAAAGGGGTTTTTTCTGTCCTTTTCTGTATAATCACATAATGTGAACATGCACCTATGAAGAACAGATGGTTTCGAGGGCAGACAGAGGTTGCAGATTTTTCTTCTGGTAAGTTAGGTTCAATGTTACCTAATTGGTTGACCTGGTAAGCAACTGGCAAACAATACAAACAAAGCTTGGAATGAGAGTATAGACTAGTAGATGGCTGGAAGGTGTTAAACCTATAGCCTTCTCCTTTAAGGATGTTTACAATGAGATAATTTTCTTACTTGATCATGTGCGGCACAGAAACTTTAGAGTTTTCCTCAAACACGCTGGTCATCAGGCCGTTACAGCGAATGTTATCAATGCACTGAAGAGAAAAAAAATATATACAACAATATATACAACAAAGCCAAGGATGAGAATTTCTTACAGAAGGCTGGCTAAAGGTTGTCACGGTAACAAATAGTCCCTCGGGTACCTGGCTGATGTCGCTGGTCCATGCAGCTTTCTCCTGACGGGAAGGAGCCAGAAGAACCACAGAGAAGCTCTGACCATCAGGAGGCTCCACCACAATTTTAAACTCCAGGTGACTGAAGCCTTGACCAGCGGCGTTGTCTGAAAATCCAACAGGAAAAGTTTATTCTGTTTCATTTGCTGCATTTACTGAAACATGTCAAAACAATCCCAACAGTACAAATTTACTTCCCAGATTAAAAGGTTTTTTATTTCTTATTGTAACACATCGTCCCTTCAAAGTTCTCTTGGCAAAAAACTGAAGCTGTTCTTAAGGGAAATATCAGCTGGGCTCCGGCCATTCAGTTCAATTTATTTCTTTAGCGCCAATTTACAACACATATCATCTCAAGGCACTTTACAGTTCACCAGATAATACAGTCAAATTGATTCAAGGTTTTCTATCTAAGGAAAAATAGTTTGTTGCATCACGACATTGACTTGAAGGCAATCCCTCACACTAAGCATGCTTGTAGCGACAGTGGAGAGGAAAAACTCCCTTTAAACAGGAAGACACCTCCAGCAGGACCAGACACAGTGTGAGCCATTAACACCTCATAACTAGAGTTGGCCTATTTTTCAGTGATTAGTCCTGTTTCTCTCCTAGAGATAGCTATGGTCTCAGCTTCTTCAGTGACTAACTGGATGTGCTCTAACTAGATCAGAGCCCACTTGCTTAATCATTTCTTACATAGACTGAGCTACATTATATGAATAAAGTCATAAAATTACTAGAATAAAGTCCTAAAAGTACGAGAATAAAGTCGTAACATTAAAAGAATAAAGACATAACATTACAAGAATAACGTCGTAACATTACAAGACTAAAGTCGTAAAATTACGAGAATAAAGTCCTAACCTTATGAGAATAAAGCCGTAACATTATGAGAATAAAGTTGTAAAATTATGAGAATAAAGTCGTAAAATTATGAGAATAAAGTCATAACATTACCAGAATAAAGTCGTAACATTACAAGAATAAAGTTGTAAAATTACAAGAATAAATTCATAACCTTACGAGAATAAAGTCGTAACATTACAAGAATAAAGTCATAACATTACAAGAATAAAGTCGTAAAATTACAAGAATAAAGTCATAACCTTATGAGAATAAAGTCGTAACATTATGAGAATAAAGTCGTAACATTATGAGAATAAAGTTTTAAAATTATGAGAATAAAGTTGTAAAATGATGAAAATAAAGTCGTAAAATTCTGAGAATAAAGTGGTAAAATGATGAAAATAAAGTCGTAAAATTACGAGAATAAAGTCGTAAAATTACAAGAATAAAGTCGTAAAATTATGAGAATAAGGTCATAACCTTATGAGACTAAAGTCGTAACATTATGAGAATAAAGTTGTAAAATTATGAGAATAAAGTCGTAAAATTATGAGAATAAAGTCATAACATTACCAGAATAAAGTCGTAACATTACAAGAATAAAGTTGTAAAATTACAAGAATAAATTCATAACCTTACGAGAATAAAGTCGTAACATTACAAGAATAAAGTCATAACATTACAAGAATAAAGTCGTAAAATTACAAGAATAAAGTCATAACCTTATGAGAATAAAGTTGTAAAATTATGAGAATAAAGTCGTAAAATTATGAGAATAAAGTCATAACATTACCAGAATAAAGTCGTAACATTACAAGAATAAAGTTGTAAAATTACAAGAATAAATTCATAACCTTACGAGAATAAAGTCGTAACATTACAAGAATAAAGTCATAACATTACAAGAATAAAGTCGTAAAATTACAAGAATAAAGTCATAACCTTATGAGAATAAAGTCGTAACATTATGAGAATAAAGTCGTAACATTATGAGAATAAAGTTTTAAAATTATGAGAATAAAGTTGTAAAATGATGAAAATAAAGTCGTAAAATTCTGAGAATAAAGTGGTAAAATGATGAAAATAAAGTCGTAAAATTACGAGAATAAAGTCGTAAAATTACAAGAATAAAGTCGTAAAATTATGAGAATAAGGTCATAACCTTATGAGACTAAAGTCGTAACATTATGAGAATAAAGTTGTAAAATTATGAGAATAAAGTTGTAAAATTACAAGAATAAGGTCATAACCTTGTGATAATAAAATCGTAAAACTACGAGAATAGTCATAAAATTACGAGAAACAAGTTGTATTTTATGACAACTCCTACAAGAAGCACTTTCTTTCCTGAAATAATGAATTTCAAGCATCATGTTAAGTTAGACTTTGGCTCTGGTTTGACCAATAAGGAAATCTTTTAGCAGCAGCATCAAATTGGGCAGAAGGTCACAGTGGACTCAGGTTGCTGATTGGTGGAGCTGGTCAGCTGTCATATGGTCGTCGGAGCTCAAAGCTTTCTTTCTGAAACAGGTTGTTGTATGATGACTTTATTCTTGTAATGTTATGACTTTATTCTAGTAATGTTATGACTTTATTCTCAAATTAAATAAATCTCTAGCCTGGCCCTAATACTCCGCCGTAAGTTGCCATGAGCCACTGTATGAATAAAATGAATTGAACTGAATTTTAGAAACAAGTAAAAATGGCAGTGGGATACTCACAGTCTTCATCGCTGGCATCCAGTTCCTCAATCAGAGTGCACTCAATAAGGGACAGCGTTCCTCCCTGCTGTTAAGGGAAAAAACATATGTGTTTTAGAGAGAAACAATTAAGCAAAGCTCTTTATTTTTCTTCCATAGTAACAAGTAGAAACACTGAAAGCTTTTCCTGCCACTACCTCAAAAGTCTTTATACTTTACTTACTTTAAGAGAGCCATTAGCCATTGGCCCGTATAGAGTGCTGTCTGACTCTGCCAGAATGCATGTTTTGTGTCATAATGCAGAGAGTGAATTTTCCCATTGTGGGACAATAATGGAATTAACATTTCTTCTTCTTTCTAATTAAATGATAGTTTTGCAAATGTTAGTACATTTAAGCTTGGAAGATAAATGGACATTATCAGAATATCTGCTGTCTGGGGAGGGGAGGAGGGGAAGTTTAACAACGTTATTCTCTGGAATACCAGGTTTTCCTGCAAACTCCCCTCCCCTCTACAAGTCTGTGTATTCAGTCCACCTGGTTAAAGCCCAGGTCACAACGGTTGCACACAACTTTTTTTTCCATGTCACACTTAGTGTGTATAGAAATGCTCAGACTACGCAAGGCGAGCTGATCTGTGCAGATTTTCTTTTTACTTCAGTCTCTCTGCCATACAAATCAAAACTATTTCCTACATTTGAGATTATGAAACGTTATTAAAGAAGCCACACTTAATGAGTCTGTGCAGCATCTCTTAAACTAAAAAGGATAGAGAAGTTGTATACGTTAAAAATATTATGGGAACTATGTTTAAAGAAAAGGTAAACACAGCAATAAAATCTGTGGGATGGTTTATATGCTGACTGAGGCAGTGAGAGGTGATTCTCACAGAGACCTGTGAAGTTTTACTGCTACATATGCGAACGGCAAAGCTGACTGTCTTCCTCTGCGATTGACAGATTTTATTTTGTATTTTCCCCAGAGCAGATGTGTGTTACCTTGCAAACACATTGAATTTCTGTTTAGTCCGACTTAAATAGTCCTGGGGTCTATCTCAGTTAGAGCTACGCAGCCCCTTGACAGAAAATCCTGTCAGGTGTTGATCCCTATAAACTCTCAATGGGCTCATGATTTTCTGTAAGATGGGATGGAAAGTCAGACTCGGTGTGTTCAGACCAAAAACAACTTGGTCCAACAACACAAAGAATTGAATTGTCTGGCTAAAACCAATAATCTCGATTGCTTTTTTTGAAATACCAACAGGCCATAAAGAAAATGCACTCAAATACAACAAAACTAATGAGCTTAATTTTAAAGTGTAAGGAGTAGAAAGTGGAGATGATTGCAAAAAAATTTAAGTAGTAGAAAATTTGTCTTAACAAATAATTACTGCAGTAAAGCATAGAAAGCCAAAATGTCTACTTAAGTGAAGAAATATCTGTGCTTTGTGTCTTGATACTTCTGTATACCCCAATCCAATCTTATAGTAAATCATTTAAAACCAATTAAAGTGCTCTTTTTTTTTTTTTTTTTCCAACAGTGGGCTGACAGGAAAGGAGGTGTGAGAGAGGGGGAGAGACATGAGGCAAAGGACCACAGGGCGGATTCAAACCCGGGTCGGCTGCGTCGAGGACTAAGGCCTCCGTACATGGGTCGTGTGCGCTAACCGCTAACTTTTTTTTTTTTTGCTTTCAAGAAAAATTATATTTGTTTTTTTTTTATTGTAAAGCTGAAATGTGGGTGAATTCTACTAGGCTCGGACTGGGAACGATATTAGGCCCCTAGCATTTTTCCATCTACGCCTAGGGATGGGAATCGAAAACCGGTTCCTGTTAAGAACCGGTTCCGTATTTTCCGATTCCATGGCATCGTTTGGCAGCTCACTGAACGATTCTTTTTTCGATTCCCGCAGCACCAGAGCCTAGAGCGCCGGCTCTGGGGAGCACGACTTACGTCACGTTTTTTACGTAAGTTACGTAAGTTACGCAAGTTACGCAAGTTGGAAGAACTATTCGAGGAGGAAGACAACGAGCTGCGGTCACTTTGTGAATCAAAGCCCCGTCTTTCCTTAGCCCAGAGGGTAGATCAGGAAATCCAGCTCTATAAAAGCTTGCCCTCCATCCCCTGCAGGGATAGCGCCACACTGTGGTGGTGGAACAAGCAAGATACGCTGCCCTTGCTATCTGACTGGCTGAAAACTACCTCTGTGTGCAGGCTTCCTCCACCCCATCTGAGAGGGTGTTCTCCACGGCTGGAGACACCATAAGCCCTGAAAGATCCTGTATCCTTCCAGAAAAAGCAGATATGCTCATCTTTCTGCAAAATAACTGTTAATTTTCCCTACTACTCTTTTATAATTAGTATTTTTTGTTATTTAAAATAGGTTATTATCCCATCATTTGTTATTAGACATTGTTGGTTATTAAGTTTGTTCTTGTATATTTATTTTTCATTTAAACACAGATGTTACTCCAGTTTCACATTTCCTGTGGACATCTTGATCTTGTTGAGTTTGTAAGATTGTGCAATAGTTAAGTAAACAAAGTTGATGCTGATAATCAAACTGTTTGTTCTCCTTTTTCCCCCAAATTGGAATCGAAAAAAGAATCGATAAAGAATCGAATCATTTAATAGAATCGAAAAGGGAATCGGAATCGTGAAAATCTTTTCAATTCCCAACCCTATCTACGCCGGCCCACTTTTCAGCAGTGTGTTAGCGTTCACTGTAAGTCTAGGTGTCATGTGGGCAATGAATTGGAATAATGTAAACAGATGCAAACCCATCATGCACCGCCACATATTTTTGCAAAATATTTGAACATAAATTCGCCAAATATAAGCGGAACACCTTAGTTTGGTTAAAAGAAAGCATTTTACAGTAGTTGTATTATTATTTACTTTGTTGCAAGGATTTGACAGTTTGAAGAAATAGAAAATTACACCATATGCCAACCGTCACAAGGATGTGCATGACACGGAAGGGTTATATATACTGCATGCATCATCTAGGGAGTTAACATTGTATTACTTCTTGAGCTCCTTCAGTTATTTACTGCCAGAGGTAGGTGCTGCGACCAGACAGTAAGTGTTGGGGCGGGTATGATTTATGAAGGACCAGCCCTCACACGCTGAAATAGGAGCAGCCCACCGGGCAAATGCCCGGTATCACAGACTACCTGTCCGAGCTTGGATTCTACATTAAAGTGATGAAGTTTGACAAATTCTATTATGTACCTTCAGCAAGTGAAGCTTCCCTCCAGAGGTTCGAGTGCAGATGAGGAAGTGTTTGGTGAACAGGAAACACTGCCTCTCTCCCTCCTTCCTCAGTGAAAGGGAGCCCAGGCGTACCTTGCTGAGCATGCCCCGTTCGCTACTGGACGGCAGCTGGATCAGAGACCCTGTTCATAGAAGAGGAAAGTTATATAGAACCGAGGCCAAGGAAAGTTTGTTTACACAGCATATTTTAGTAGCACGACAAAATCACAAAAGTGCTGCACAAAAAAAAACAAAAAACAGCTAATTGCAGTGGGGATGGATGCAACACGGTTGCTGGCATCATTTTTTATTCTGCGATGTCACTATACTGTCATTCTCAAGGATTAATCAAAAGCTCCGTCTTTCAGCTAACTATTATCTATAAGCTTCTAACTTTGGTGTCATAAGCTGTTTAAGAGATGATTATTCAGGCGTCCATTTTATCTTGCCTTGACAGCTGTAACAGTAAGGAGAGAATTCTTCTCCATATTTGCAGGCTAAGAACACATTTTTTTAATAAGAAATCTAAAATATCATATATATATATTTTTTTATTTTCATTTCAGAAATTAAACTTAGGAACATATTTTAAGCAAAAGAGGCCTATTTTGGGGAAGAAAGAATATTTGCTATCTTCTCAGGGTTTTTTTCATATTACTTTGCATTTCTATTGCTCTCCGGCTTAAAGTGAAAAGTGAAACTCAGTGTGAAATAAAGACCTCTGAATAGTGAATTAGCAAAAAATATATTTGAAAATCAAAATTCGAAAACATGAACTGTGAAAATTTATTTTGGGTTACAAAAAAATTACATTAACAGCCAAAGTATCTTTAAGAACATTAATCTTTGTGCTCTCTTGAGGATTCATTATTTCAAGAAGCAGCTGGAAACCTGTTTTTTTATGTTTCAACTACTTTTATGTCGTTATCTATGCTGCGTTATCTTTATTTTATTTGTCTTCAGTGATTCATATTGTCTGAGACAATGAGAGAAAGTATAATGGCTTTAGAACTGAGCTGATGTGTTCCACATCCTTGGTTTTAGTGAGGATGCAGGCAGCAGCTTTCTGGAGCTCTCTGATACACCTTTTTAGGCAGGCCTAGGAAGACACTGTTACATCAGTCAATTCTACTAAAGATGAACACATGAATAAGAACACCAAGGTTCAATAGGAACACCAACACCAACCCTTAATTTTAGCTGGTAAATAAGATGATTTGCCAATGGGATTAGATTTTTACTCTTAAAATAAGATAATTAGATAATATGCACTTGTAACAAGCCATTGCAGTTGCTTTTTGCTATTTTAAATGAAAATTTTCTTACTCCATTGGCAAAGTATCTCACTTACCTCCTCCATTCAAGACAAAATTAACATATTTTAAGAAAAAGGTAACAAACAGGAAATACGCATAGTGTAGAGCGGATTTAGAATTGACCAATCAGAGGCCTCCTGTCTGCGGCACTGTCTGCGGTCACCTACAACTTTGGAGAGGTGCAGCAGAGTTTGTTGCGGAGGGGGCGGGGCATATCTGTGTTCACTGCGACCAGTTAGCCTTGTTGGTTTTTGAGCTTAAATCAGCCTTAAAGGAATAGTACACCCAAAACATGATTAGCCTTCATTTTCTACTCACCCCCATGCTGAACAACACTCTGGAGTACTTTTTTGATATCTCAAATGCATCTGGAGATCTGGGAGGCTTCTTGCTGTCTGCTGACATTCAAATAATGGAGGTCTATGGCGCCCGAGACAGAAAGGTCCATAAAAGTCCACAAAAAACGTGTCAATATTCCTCCATACTGGTCGTCCAATGTATTCCAAGTTTCCTGAGTGGGTAGCATCCAGAATTTACTCGAAACGAAGTCATTTAGAATGTTTTTAGAGCATAAACAGTAGTGTATAGGATTTCCTGAAACCGCGCGCCGGTGCGTTCATGACGCTACGGAAACCGCGGCAGACCAAGCCAGATGAAAGTGCGCATTCAGCTCGGCAAAGAACTCATGCTCTTCCTCAACACTGAAGTCCTCAGACATTTTTCTTTCGTTGTTTCTTTCTTTGCACAGGTAAACAGCACATTTCTTCTTCTATGCTTGCATTATCGGCAGAGCAGACGCTGAATGCGCACTTTCATCTGGTTTGGTCTGCCGGCTTCCGTAGCGTCATGAACGCGCCGGCGCGCGCTTTCAGGAAATCCTATACACTACTGTTTATGCTCTAAAAACATTCTAAATGGCTTCGTTTCAAGTAAATTCTGGATGCTACCCACTCAGGACACTTGGAATACATTGGACAAGCAGTATGGAGGAATATTGACACGTTTTTTGTGGACTTTTATGGACCTTTCTGTCTCGGTCACCATAGACCTCCATTATTTGAATGTCAGCAGACAGCAAGAAGCCTCCCAGATCTCCAGATGCATTTGAGATATCAAAAAAGTACTCCAGAGTGTTGTTCGGCATGGGGGTGAGTAGAAAATGAAGGCTAATCATGTTTTGGGTGTACTATTCCTTTAAGAAGCCAGAGGCTCACCTTGTCTGACGAAGGTCTGGCTCGTGTCCAGCAGAATGTCGCAGCCTTCTACAATCATCCTTTCAATGGCCAAATTCTTCCTGATGTTTTCAGTGTCGCTCACCTCATCGTGCATCATCCTTTAAACACAAGAAACAGAAATCACTGAGCGCATCCCTGTACTCACCTATCGACCTATCAGAGACCTGCATCACCTCAAACAGGTCTCATTGTCCCAGATATAATTTTGTTAATAAAACAGAGGTATCATTTATGCATAATTTGCAATTTTCCTACTTCCTGTGCTATCAGATGAGAAGCTGTGGTTCAGTTCAACAAAAATACAATAAGAAGAAGACGCAAACCACACAAACCACTAGGGATGCACGATATAATCGGCCCCCTATCGGTATCGGCCTGTATCGGCCTTAAAACTGAATATCGGACATCGGCCATCCCACCGATATTTAACCCGATATTTGATCAGCTTCTGAGTTTCTAAAGTCTAAAAAACAAAAAAAAATACTACTTCTTCTTCTTCCTCAAAAACTTATTTTTTACAGACTTAAAAACTTCTAAAGATGAGGGAAAAAATATTGATACATTAAAATATCACAATATCTTCATTTGCTGATATATTGCCATTTAAAAACACCATATCAATCTCTGTTACTAATGAAATATTGCTGTCATCGTTATGCTACGAAATCCCCCGAAAATTCACGAAATTTTGCCATATTTTTATATGTTGATATATTGACGCGGTATCGATCTATTTTACTAACAAAATCTCACAAGAATTAGCAAAATGAAGCTCTAGCGAAAGTTCAATTGAAGAAACTCTGACTTACCTCACATCATCAGAAGCCGATCCGTCTCCGAAGTGAGCCAATCAGCTTTGAACTACTCCACCACGAAGCCCAATCAGCGTCCTGCTTCCACTTTATAAACTCCCTCAAATCTCACCACAGCCGCTATCTTGCAATCGCAATGTCGGATTTCGATCCAGACGACAATTCAATTTTCCCCGCTCGGAGAAACTCCCGTCTAGCCGCTCTCATCTCCTTCTTCCGCGTTACACTCCAAGGGTATATTGCCAGGCTCCGACCTAGACTCTGCTCAGATGTCTTAACGAGCCTCCCTCCTACCTCCTCGTGATTCATCTCCCTCGCCTTCCGCTTCAATCCGCTCCGATTCCTGGCCGCAAAAGTCATGCAAGTCCTCCGCTCCCCTCGCCAGGCGCAGAAGGCCTCCCGGATCTGTCCCAGCAGCAGTCACCACTACGCCCGCTCCTTCTCATCGTTTCGATGCAGCCTTGGACCTCTCCAGCTTCCTGATTCATAGCAGCTCCCCCGTCTAGTCCTTCTGGCGTTTAACAGCTCTCAGCCTCCCTCCGCTCCACCGGACTCTCTCACTCAATCCTTCGACGCTGTCCGCACGCTCCAAACGTGGGAATCCCTGCACTGCCACGTCATCCCTGCCGCTGTCTGCTCAGACGGACCTCCCCCTCCCCTCATTCACATTAGGGAACGCCCGCCCTGGGCCAGCCTTAGGGTAAGACGTATTCAACCATGTTTTCATTCATAATTTTCTATCTATTTGAGTTTGCTCTTATGCTTCGTCTGCCTCTATCAGGCATACTTATATTAACACACATGCTGATATTTTCCCTAGCCTCGTTCTAAATTATCAGGGGAATATTTTAATTTAGTCTCTTATTCTTCCCTCCCCTGAAGTCGATCAGCAGGTGACGTCACCGTTTTTCTAAATCATCCGATCTCCGTCTACCAGAGATCTTTCTATTGGCCAAAATTTTTTGCCGCATTCAGCATCCATCGTGATTACTCAGAGCTTCTGCAGGAGGGCCATCCGATCAGTCTGTCCCCGCCGTGCACGCTTCATATATATCGTACCTCAGTCTTAGCAGCCCGTCATCTTACCACCCCTTATTATTACTTCTGATTATCGTTCTGTCTTCTATATGGAAGTAAATATGTGCCATCAGAATTTGAATAAAAAATACCTCTGAAATTTGAATGTTGTATATTAGTGCTTACTTTTTCAGTATTAAAATAAATTCAGAATATGTTTTTAACCTAAAAAAAATTCAATGTCATTATTTGTACATAAAAAAAAAAATTCAGTGTAATTTTTTTTATATGGTTGCAATTTTCAGTTATTAAAAAAATTCACATTCCTATTTCAAAGTGATAAAATTTTCAATATACATATTTTTCACAGTTTAAATTTTCAGTGTTAAAAAATTCAGCATATAAAAAATTCAACTTTTCAAAATTCAAATGCAATATTTTCGTTGTCCTCCAATTCAACTTGCTCAAATTCACTGTCTCAAATTCAGCGTCTAAAAATTCGCTGTAAAAATGGCCAAGGTTACTTCAGGTCACAGACATTAGCAATGGATGTCCGATTCCAACATCCACCTAATCACGTGACACAACCGTCATATTGAAGAAGTACCAGTATCACCCAGGCTGGCGACCATGGAGGCGAACTTAAACCCAGCGGTGAGTTTAATGCTTTCATATTTCTGTAGTATATTTTATTTTGCGCATGAAGTTTGATACATTACTACATTAGCAGTAGCATCTCCTGAAAAATTACGACTTTACTAAGACTGCCTGGAAAAGTGGTATTTCTTTTTGAAATTTAACGGGGGAAATTGGGAGGGGGGGGGGGTGCTCGGAGGTAGCGAGAAGTAATATGCCGGCACTACACGGTGTAAGATTAACAACGGCCCAAACCAGTGTTTTAAATCAGGCTTTAAGATAATGTATCAAACTTCATGCGCAAAATAAAATATACTACAGAAATATGAAAGCATTAAACTCACCGCTGGGTTTAAGTTCGCCTCCATGGTCGCCAGCCTGGGTGATACTGGTACTTCTTCAATATGACGGTTGTGTCACGTGATTAGGTGGATGTTGGAATCGGACACCCATTGCTAATGTCTGTGACCTGAAGTAACCTTGGCCATTTTTACAGCGAATTTTTAGACGCTGAATTTGAGACAGTGAATTTGAGGAAGTTGAATTGGAGGACAACGAAAATATTGCATTTGAATTTTAAAAAGTTGAATTTTTTATATGCTGAATTTTTTAACACTGAAAATTTAAACTGTGAAAAATATGTATATTGAAAATTTTATCACTTTGAAATAGGAATGTGAATTTTTTTAATAACTGAAAATTGCAACCATGTAAAAAAAATTACACTGAATTTTTTTTTTAATGTACAAATAATGACATTGAATTTTTTTTAGGTTAAAAATATATTCTGAATTTATTTTAATACTGAAAAAGTAAGCACTAATATACAACATTCAAATTTCAGAGGTATTTTTTATTCAAATTCTGATGGCACATAATTACTTCCATACTTCTTCTTCTTCAAAAAAAAAAAAAAAACAAAAAAAAACACACAAACTGATGTTCTACATCAGTCATTTCTAAATGCCAATTGCGCTCCTTGCTAGGTCAGCTAATTTGCCATGCGCTTATTTCTCAAGGCCGCGCTTTCATTCCCAGTTGCTTGATCCGGCAATTTCCGTCCCTCTCCTTGGTCAGATTACTGAACGTAGGCTGCCGTTCGGATCTCCTGGTCTGACTGCTTCTAATTGGGTCAAATTTCTTTTCTATGTCGAAATTATCTATCTCCTGCCATGCTTCAAAATTTTTCGGATGCTGCATCCGTAGGTTTTGGGGGGTTCTTCAGGACAGGTGGTTCATGGCCTCTTTTATTCACACCCATTATGCTTGTGTGAGGTCTAACCCTAGCTAGCTTGCATCGTGGGGCTTTGGGAAGGAATCGCGTCCGCCCACTGCGATAACTTCGTAGTAGTTGAAGCACTAATAAGTCTCTACTCCTCCAAGTCTCTCATGCCTTCATCAGAAGCATCACTGGCAGCAGTCACTAACGTTTCATCATCTCAGTGCGTTATGTTTAGGCATTCAGCACTTTTATTCGCCCAAGCATTACCCTACGTCCACCATGGTTCTTCACCACCTTAGGATACTCTTAGAATCAAGTGGCCTTCGCTCTAGTAGGTAATCTGGGCATTCGTTCTGGACCGAGCAGCTGCATTGCAGCTACTCGCGGGGTTCTGAGGCTTCCCTCAGCTCTGGGCCGATGGCTCACCAGCCTATACCTCATTCATCCGCCCAGAACTCTCACCAATTCTCTCAGCTCAGTGCTCTCTGCCTCTAGGTAACACTATTTCAAATACTGGTGGTGGTTCAACTCATTTTCATAATTTTCTGACCTAATCACGACTATCCTCTAACTCATTTTCTACTCCCACTCCTTATCAGTTTTCTTCATTATTCCCTGCTTCATGCAGTCTTCCATGCTGTCTCCTGGCTATTCATGCTATCTTCATTCTGGCTCGCATTCATGCAATCTCACCTTTATGACAGGCATTATATGCATTGTCCTGTGTGTCACGTCACGTCTGGTCTGTGTCTCGTCATGCATCCTTGACACCATTTAGCATGCATTCCCTAATGCATCAACTCTTCATATATGTAACCATCCGCAAGAATCATCCGCAAGATTCATTATCAGACTCATCCGCAAGATTCATTATCAGACTCATCCGCAAGATTCATTATCAGACTCATCCGCAAGATTCATTATCAGACTCATCCGCAAGATTCATTATCAGACTCATCCGCAAGATTCATTATCAGACTCATCCGCAAGATTCATTCCCCATGCATCACATGCTCCCTATCTGTGTCTCGTCGTGTCCCGTCATGCATCCCTTACGCCATTTTGCTTGCATTTTCAATGCATCAATATGCACCATGTCTGCGTCTCGTCATGTCTGTATCCCGTCATGTTATATGTTCTATATGGACTCATCCGCAAGATTCATTATCAGACTCATCCGCAAGATTCATTATCAGACTCATCCGCAAGATTCATTCCCCATGCATCACATGCTCCCTATCTGTGTCTCGTCGTGTCCCGTGATGCATCCCTACGCCATTTTGCTTGCATTTCCAATGCATCAATATGCACCATGTCTGCGTCTCGTCATGTCTGTATCCCGTCATGTTATATGTTCTATATGGACTCATCCGCAAGATTCATTATCAGACTCATTCGCAAGATTCATTATCAGACTCATCCGCAAGATTCATTCCCCATGCATCACATGCTCCCTATCTGTGTCTCGTCGTGTCTCGTCATGCATCCCTACGCCATTTTGCTTGCATTTCCAATGCATCAATATGCACCATGTCTGCGTCTCGTCATGTCTGTATCCCGTCATGTTATATGTTCTATATGGACTCATCCGCAAGATTCATTATCAGACTCATCCGCAAGATTCATTATCAGACTCATCCGCAAGATTCATTCCCCATGCATCACAGGCTCCCTATCTGTGTCTCGTCGTGTCCCGTGATGCATCCCTACGCCATTTTGCTTGCATTTCCAATGCATCAATATGCACCATGTCTGCGTCTCGTCATGTCTGTATCCCGTCATGTTATATGTTCTATATGGACTCATCCGCAAGATTCATTATCAGACTCATCCGCAAGATTCATTATCAGACTCATCCGCAAGATTCATTCCCCATGCATCACATGCTCCCTATCTGTGTCTCGTCGTGTCTCGTCATGCATCCCTACGCCATTTTGCTTGCATTTCCAATGCATCAATATGCACCATGTCTGCGTCTCGTTATGTCTGTATCCCGTCATGTTATATGTTCTATATGGACTCATCCGCAAGATTCATTATCCGACTCATCCGCAAGATTCATTATCAGACTCATGCGCAAGATTCATTCCCCATGCATCACATGCTCCCTATCTGTGTCTCGTCGTGTCTCGTCATGCATCCCTACGCCATTTTGCTTGCATTTCCAATGCATCAATATGCACCATGTCTGCGTCTCGTTATGTCTGTATCCCGTCATGTTATATGTTCTATATGGACTCATCCGCAAGATTCATTATCAGACTCATCCGCAAGATTCATTATCATCGTCATCATAATGGGATGCACCATCGTCATCATCATCCGCAGGATTCATCATCATCGTCATCATCATCATGGGATCATCATCGTCATGGGATCATCATCGTCATCATCATCATGGGATCATCATCGTCATCATCATCATGGGATCATCATCATCATCACCATCATGGGATCATCATCATCATCATCATCATCATGGGATCATCATCATCATCATGGGATCATCATCATCATCTTCATCATCATCATCATGGGATCATCATCATCATGGGATCATCATCATCATCATGGGATCATCATCATCATGGGATCATCATCATCATCATCATGGGTTCATCATCATCATCATGGGTTCATCATCATCATCATCATCATCATCATCATCATCATGGGTTCATCGCCATCATCATCATCATGGGTTCATCATCATCATGGGTTCATCATCATCATCATCATCATGGGTTCATCATCATCATCATCATCATCATGGGTTCATCATCATCATCATCGTGGGTTCATCATCATCATCATCATCATCATCATGGGTTCATCATCATCATCATGGGTTCATCATCATCATCATGGGTAAATCATCATCATCATGGGTTCATCATCATCATGGGTAAATCATCATCATCATGGGTTCATCATCATCATGGGTTCATCATCATCATCATGGGTAAATCATCATCGGTAAGTTCTCGGCGTCAACCGTGGTCGCCATCCTCATCAACAACCTGGCTCGGTAAGTTGTTTGCAAACCTTCTCAGCATTTCATTACGCATTCTTTATTCTGTCCCTAGCGTATGCCCTATGAGCATACGGACTCTCCGGCCTCGTCCTCGGCTTTTTGGGGGAACATCCCTATTCACATTCATCTACTCATGCATGTTAAAGCATAATTCAGCATGAATGTTCCTGCCGAGGTCTGAGCGCCAAAGACTATACTTTCTTATCAATAAATTCTTCTAATTATCTTTTCTCTCTGTGTGAGTTTTTCAGATTGAAATGAAGCTCTAGCGAAAGTTCAATTGAAGAAACTCTGACTTACCTCACATCATCAGAAGCCGATCCGTCTCTGAAGCGAGCCAATCAGCTTCGAACTACTCCACCATGAAGCCAAATCAGCGTCCTGCTTCCACTTTATAAACTCCCTCAAATCTCACCACAGCCGCTATCCTGCAATCGCAATGTCGGATTTCGATCCAGACGACAATTCACCCACCTCCATCCCCTTCTCCGCCATCGCAGCTGAATCGTCCTCCATGACACGACTTCACCTCAACCTCATCAGAGTATTAATCCCAGTTGTCACCATCCCTCGTCTCATCGCATTGGTCCGGCAGAAGACCACCATGTTGAGCCCGGTTCTGCCAGAGGTTTCTTCCCAAAGGGGAGTTTTTCCTCTCCACTGTCGCTTCATGCTTGCTCATCATGGACACTTCACGGTACCTGCATCACCGAGCAGGACCTCTATATCCCGAGTCTGAATGATGCCCCGGCGTCAGCTCCCTCAGTCTTCTAGTCCCACAATTCTGCCCAGCAGATCACCTTGTCAACCAGCTCGGATTAAACCACCACCAGTTTCAGGCCCGGGGGGAACATCCCTATTCACATTCATCTACTCATGCATGTTAAAGCATAATTCAGCATGAATGTTCCTGCCGAGGTCTGAGCGCCAAAGACTATACTTTCTTATCAATAAATTCTTCTAATTATCTTTTCTCTCTGCGTGAGTTTTTCAGATTGAAATATCACGATAGTTTGTAACAGAACGATGAAATTTCACGAGATTTTGAAAGTAAATTAGATCGATACCGCGTTTTTAAAAATCAATTTGATATCAGCATATGAAAATATATTTGAGTATATTATTTTTCTAAGTGTCAGAAATGGATAACAAAACAGCTGTTTTCAATGACTACTTATTTTTGTCCAGCTTCAACATCGGTATCGGTTATCGGCTACATGAGTTTTAAAATATCGCCATATCGGATATCGGCCAAAATCCCAATATGGTGCATCCCTAGAAACCACATATTACTTCTAGTATTTACAAGCAGTTATATTCAATTATATTCAAGTTAGGTATCCACAGCCATGCGAAACACTTCCTAACTCAGTGAAATGTCGTGTCTCTGAATCTAAACAGCATTTGAATACTGATGTGCCTAATTTTGGGTGAAATCTTCATTTTGCTGAACCTGTTTCACTTGTTCTGACAGAGCCCACCTACTTCGATAACTCTTCCAGTTTGGATTTGGCAAACTCCAGGCTCTTCCGCTCCACATGCTCATGAGGTGTGTGTGCCAGCAGCTCGTGGAGGGTGATGATGTATCGAGGAATCTTAAATAAGTAAGAAATAAAGAAAAGGCATGAATATAAGCCAGATTAGAAAGACAGCTGAAACTGAACATTTATGACAGATTATTACTTTAAAAAAGAAATTCTTGAAGCACAATATTTAAGATTTTATTTAGAAATCTTTTTTTTTTTTTTGCTGGGATGTCTTTTGAGAATTACAAGTCAATTTATTTATCAATCAGTTATTTTATAAATTCAGTTGTCTTGGGAAAAAAAAAAAAACTTTAAAAATCCAGTTTGTAAGATTTATTTTAAGTTAAAAAATGTATCTTATTTTTGTAAATGAAAAGGCATTTCTATTAATCCAGTTTAAGTCAAAATTTGGGAAACGTTGGCTTCTAGAAATATATTCTAGTTTTCATTATAAATGGATCAGAAGGATATTTTTTCTGCTTACCAAAAAGGTAACCAAGCACCTCTTACTTTAAGTTACCAAGGTGGGAAAAAGTTTCTAAAGGGATCCATGATTAATTGTAAAGGTAGTTTATTTAAGGTTGATTGAGATTGATGTTTATTTTTCGAAGTAGAAAAAAGTGCTTTTTCCAACTTGTTCTCAGGTACAACAGGTAATGAAAACTTTAATGCAGGAACACTGTGTGGTATTCTATCAACCAAACCCAAAACAATAAAAAAACAACTTTAGTAAAGTTAGCCTTCCAGTAAGACCAAACTGCGTCATCTACCCATCATGCATTGCACAGGTGAAAAATAATCTCCATGGGTGAAATATATAATAATAATAATAATTGAACTTTATTGATCTCACAGTAGAGAAATTTACCTCAGCATTTAATGCATCCCCTTGGGGAGCAGTGGGCTGCGATGGTGTGGCGCCCGGGGAGCAAGGTGGGTTTAAGGGATATATTATTTGTGTAGCAATTATGACTTATGGTTTTTGAAGTTAACAAAAAAATATTAAATATTTCAGCTAGTCATACAGTAGTAGCCATTTAACATTTCTGCACTTACCTTGGTGGGTCCTTGGCTGGTCCCCTGCAATTCCTTTTTAAACATCAATCTTTGTACTGAAATATTATTTCTCTCATGATTTGTGTACATTAAGATCTAAAGAGTAGCATCGTCTCCTGGTCAGATCCTGTAATTTAGTGAAAGGGTGGAGTCAGAGTAAAAAAATATGCATGCCCAGGAGAAGGAGGGGGACCCTGCAGTGGCTGGAAGTTGGAGGGGATTTTGCTTGGAGTTACAGGGAAGTTGGCTGCCATTCGGCTGGCGTTTGACTGGGAAGGCAATTTTTGTACTGGGAATGGCTGCTAATGTAGATCCTTTTAGGGATATAACCAGTACTCGAGTTGAGGGGGGTGGTATCCCCTTCTTTTTTTATTTCTTTGAGTTTTTAAGGCACTATTGGCTCATTGTTTTCGACAGTAGGCTGACAGTTAAAGGGGTATGAGACAGGGGGTGAGACATCTGGCAAAGGACCACAGGCCGGATTCGAACCAGGGTCGGCCACATGGAGGACTAAGGCCTCTGTACAGGTGCTGGTCATAAAATTAGAATATCATGAAAAAGTAGATTGATTTCAGTAATTCCATTTAAAAAGTGAAACTTGTATATTATATTCATACATTACATACAAACTCATATATTTCAGATGTTTATTTTGTTTAATTTTGATGATTACAAATGACAACAAATGAAAATCTCAAATTCATCATATCAGAAAATTAGAATATTACTGAAGACCAATAAAAACAAAGGATTTATAGAAATGTTGGCCAACTGAAAAGTATGAACATGAAAAGTATGAGCATGTACAGCACTCAGTATTTAGTTGGGCCTCCTTTGGCCTGTATTACTGCAGCAATGCGGCGTGGCATGGAGTCGATCAGTCTGTGGCACTGCTCAGGTGTTATGATAGCCCAGGTTGCTCTAATAGTGGCTTTTAGCTCTTCTGAATTGTTGGGTCTGGTGTATTGCATCTTCTTCTTCACAATACCCCATAGATTTTCTATGGGGTTAAGGTCAGGAGAGTTTGCTGGCCAATTAAGAACAGGGATACCATGGTCCTTCAACCAGGTACTGGTAGCTTTGGCACTGTGTGCAGGTGCCAAGTCCTGTTGGAAAATGAAATCTGCATCTCCAAAAAGTTGGTCAGCTGCAGGAAGCATGAAGTGCTCTAAAACTTCCTGGTATGTGGCTGCGTTGACCCTGGACCTCAGAAAACACAATGGACCAACACCAGCAGATGACATGGCACCCCAAACCATCACTGACTGTGGAAACTTTACACTGGACTTCAAGCAACGTGGATGAAGTGCCTCTCTTCTTTTCCTCCAGACTCTGGGACTTTGATTTCCAAAGGAAATGCAAAATTTACTTTCATCAGAGAACATGACTTTGGACCACTCACCAGCAGTCCAGTCCTGTTTCTCTTTAGCCCAGGCAAGACGCTTCTGACGCTGTCTGTGGTTCAAGAGTGGCTTGACACAAGGAATGCGACAGCAGAAACCCATGTCTTTCATACGTCTGTGTGTGGTGGTTCTTGAAGCACTCACTCCAGCTGCAGTCCACTCTTTGTGAATCTCCCCCACATTTTTGAATGGGTTTTGTTTCACAATCCTCTCCAGGGTGCGGTTATCTCTCTTGCTTGTACACTTTTTTCGACCACATCTTTTCCTTCCCTTCGCCTCTCTATTAATGTGCTTGGACACTGAGCTCTGTGAACAGCCAGCCTCTTTAGCGATGACCTTTTGTGTCTTGCCCTCCTTGTGCAAGGTGTCGATGGTCGTCTTTTGGACAACTGTCAAGTCAGCAGTCTTCCCCATGATTGTGTAGCCTATAGAACTAGACTGAAAGACCATTTAAAGGCTTTTGCAGGTGGTTTGAGTTAATTAGCTGATTAGAGTGTGGCACCAGGGGCCATCAATTTTGAACCTTTTCACAATATTCTAATTTTCTGATATGATGAATTTGAGATTTTCATTTGTTGTCATTTGTAATCATCAAAATTAAACAAAATAAACATCTGAAATATATGACTTTGTATGTAATGTATGAATATAATATACAAGTTTCACTTTTTAAATGGAATTACTGAAATCAATCTACTTTTTCATGATATTCTAATTTTATGACCAGCACCTGTATATGGGTCGAAGCATGCCCGGCATCCCCCTGTTAAAAAAATCCTCCCCCTTCCTAAATAAAAACCCCCACCATACATCCCCTGTGAGATTTAATAACTGATTATGTAAAATTTCTACTATATATTAACAGTAATGATAATAATATTGCCCTTTCAACATTTGGGAGGCTTTGAAATTACTAGTAGCCTGAACAAAATAAATAGAATCAAAGAAGTGTCCTAGATCTCTGACGAAACATGGGAGGGAGTCTGGACTGAGGTACATCGAGTTACAAACTCCAATACGTGGCGGGAATATAAATGGAAAATCATAAGTAGATATTTCAGGACCCCAGATGTTGTTGCCAAGATGGATCCTAGAGTACCAAGCTTGTGTTGGAGAAACTGTGGCTCAGCGGTCCCCAATCATACACACATTTTCTGGTCATGTCCCAAACTTCAAAACTTTTGGGATGAGGTGTACAGGACTATGAACAAGATCTTCGCGGAGGTTATACCGAGGGATGTTACTGTTGCGGTACTTGGTATTATACCGGAGAGTTTGCAAGGACGGGCCAAAACTTATCTGTTGAATGTTCTTTTAACAGCAGCCCTGAAATGCATTACAACCAGGTGGATGCAGTTGGAGCCTCCTTCCCATGACTTATGGGTACAAAAAGTAAGAGAGTTGTACAAAATGGAAAAGATAACCTACTCATTAAGACTTCAAAAAAAACACCCTTAGCATGCGCTGGGGGCCAGCAGAAGCTATGCTGATGTAAATAAGCCCAACAAGTTTGTCTCTTGGCATATGGTGTATGCTTATGTTGGGGTCTCAGGAAGATGAGCCTACAAATTTGAGGCTGAGATCATAAGATATTGAGCTAAGATGTTAATTTTATGGAAAACTGTATATTTTCAACTTTTGTGTACCATTGATGTGTGGCTGTACAATTGCTCTGTAAAAAATAATAAAAGTATAAGTTCTAAAAAAAAAAAAAAAAAAAAGAAGTGTCCTAGCATGAATATGAAGCTGATCCCAGTGGGAAATGAGTCCCTAACTATGTAGGGGCGGTGATAGCCATGCTGACTATGTAGGGGCGGTGATAGCCATGCTAACTATGTAGGGGCGGTGATAGCCATGCTAACTATGTAGAGGCAGTGATAGCCATGCTAACTATGTAGGGGCGGTGATAGCCATGCTAACTATGTAGAGGCAGTGATAGCCATGCTAACTATGTAGGGGCAGTGATAGCCATGCTAACTATGTAGGGGCGGTGATAGCCATGCTAACTATGTAGGGGCGGTGATAGCCATGCTAACTATGTAGGGGCGGTGATAGCCATGCTAACTATGTAGAGGCAGTGATAGCCATGCTAACTATGTAGGGGCGGTGATAGCCATGCTAACTATGTAGGGGCGGTGATAGCCATGCTAACTATGTAGGGGTGGTGATAGCCATGCTAACTATGTAGGGGCAGTGATAGCCATGCTAACTATGTAGGGGCGGTGATAGCCATGCTAACTATGTAGGGGCGGTGATAGCCATGCTAACTTTGTAGAGGCAGTGATAGCCATGCTAACTATGTAGGGGCAGTGATAGCCATGCAAACTATGTAGGGGCGGTGATAGCCATGCTAACTATGTAGAGGCAGTGATAGCCATGCTAACTATGTAGGGGCGGTGATAGCCATGCTAACTATGTAGAGGCAGTGATAGCCATGCTAACGATGTAGGGGCAGTGATAGCCATGCTAACTATGTAGGGGCGGTGATAGCCATGCTAACTTTGTAGAGGCAGTGATAGCCATGCTAACTATGTAGGGGCAGTGATAGCCATGCTAACTATGTAGGGGCGGTGATAGCCATGCTAACTATGTAGAGGCAGTGATAGCCATGCTAACGATGTAGGGGCAGTGATAGCCATGCTAACTATGTAGAGGCAGTGATAGCCATGCTAACTATGTAGGGGCAGTGATAGCCATGCTAACTATGTAGGGGCGGTGATAGCCATGCTAACTATGTAGAGGCAGTGATAGCCATGCTAACTATGTAGGGGGGGTGATAGCCATGCTAACTTTGTAGAGGCAGTGATAGCCATGCTAACTATGTAGGGGGGGTGATAGCCATGCTAACTTTGTAGAGGCAGTGATAGCCATGCTAACTATGTAGGGGGGGTGATAGCCATGCTAACTATGTAGGGGGGCTGATAGCCATGCTAACTATGTAGAGGCAGTGATAGCCATGCTAACTATGTAGGGGGGGTGATAGCCATGCTAACTATGTAGAGGGGGGTGAACAACATGCATAGTGCTTTAGGTCAATGGACTATATTAATTAGGCTATAGTCTATGCTTCTAAATAGCAGGAAAAAAATTCCACCACCCCTTTTTTTTTTTTTACAACTAGATTACTGCATATAACAGTAATAAAATGCATTTTAAAATCATTTTGAATATGTGTAAGAAAGAAAAAAAAAAAAAAATACCAGCTGACCAGTTGACTTTATCTACACCTACAAGCATTATAATATTTTTAACAATGTGCAAATCAAAAACCCCCATTCTAGGCATCACAGTGTCTTTAGTTGCTACAGGTTTTATGTTTGGTACCTGGAACATGGGATACGTGAGAAAGGTTTCCAGCATGCGTCCCTCACATCCAGCGTTGGATTCGTACTGTTTCAGCAGCTTGTCAAAGTCTCGGTTCTGCTTGCAGTTTGCCAGCACCTGCAGGCTGTACTGGTGGTTCCTCACAAACTCCTGGTAAATGTTCAGCATGGGCAGCAGGATGTCAAACAGGTCCGCTGTGGAGGAAAACAGACATGCAGCTCATGCTCCGACCTTTACGTATCGAAAATGACAGAAAATTAAGACTAAAACAAAAGCCTCTAATTGCAAAAATAATATGATATTATTTACATGTTGCTAAAGGGGTGATATAGCAGATAATGTTTGTATTGATAAAGACTGATTTCTAATCCAGTGATTTGATTCCTAAAATGCAGGTTAAAAATTTGTTAAATTTTGTGTTGTTGTGATGTTTTATTTTTTGCAAATTACAGTCTGATTATGACCGCTAATTTAGGAACATACCTGCAAGGTCTGCCACACTCACCTAGAACCAGTGTGGGCCAGTTGGCGATCCGAGCCTTCAGCCCTTGGTGGAAGATCTCATGCAGAAACATGATGGTCTCACTGCACACAGAAATATAATCACTACCAGGATCTTTTTAATCAGGAGACAAAGATGTAGCCTACTAACAGAACAGGCAGGTCTACATTTTACTTCTTACAAAGTAAATGCTTGACTGTAGACAGACTCTATGTTTGTTACAGAACACAAATATGAATAAAGCATGTTTTATCAAGTAGCAGACATTTCTTTTTTGTGAACCTGTAAAAAAAGAAAATCTTGCCTTCTTAATGTAATGCATTGAAACATCCTCAAAGTCTGAAGAGCTTCTACATACTGACTTAAAGGGATAGTTCGGTATTTTTGACATGAATCTGTATGGCATCCCCATCACCAGTGTCATGCAATCACACTGACTTACCCCTGGCAGCGTCCTGTGAGCAGAGTTCTCGTCCAGCTTTGGTCAAGCCGAAAGTAGTCCGGCAGGTTTGCTAGACCCAGCGAAATAAAACGTTTCTCTTCCCAAAACATTATGTGTTCAAAAGAGTGATATTTTTGCATCCCAAAAACGTTGTAGTGGAAAAAGTCACACGTCGTTATCACTTGGTCCTATTTTCTCTCTGTTCGTATCAGTGCGCGCCGTCATTCAGACAGCGAGTTCAACAACAGCCAGATGCATGTCTCCCTCCGCCTAGCTCCTAGCTGGGCGGAGGGAGACATGCATCTGGCTGTTGTCAGGTTAGTAGGCCCTAGCTGTCTGAATGACGGCGCGCACTGATACGAACCTTGCTTCATTTCCATGTCTACTTCTTGCGACTATAACCGCTGCCATGTGTGCGCAATTACGCATACAGACCATTTGCACCTTTTTTCAAACGTGTTAAATATAGAGTCAGATACCGTTAGCAAAATTGCTTTAGGTTTGATAAATCACTTTGCGAGTGCTAAATTAATATATTTACATGTTCTCCTCCCACAAGACGCACTTTTGCGTGTAAACGCCCCATATTGCATATTCATTGCAGAAAAAGTATTAAATGGATAAGAGGCGCTATTTAGCACGTTTTAAAGACCAAATCCTTTTAGCACGCTGTTGATAGATCAGTTTGTACATTTTTTAGCGTGCGCAGTGAAATAGCTTGCGTTTTTATACACGCAAACCTTTGATAGATCCGGCCCTATGCGTATTTCCTTTGGTACGTAATGGCAGAAACTGGCAGTAGTGCTGTCCACACTAGCACTGGCACACCTCAGACACTATCTCAGACACCATACAGGATGCTAGTTTGTAGCTCTGTGCGATGGTCTGTTGGTTTTCACCCGAAGCCACAACACGCAGTGCCGTGCCCAGACTTTCAGGAATAGCCACGGGTGAACTGTGTGATGTTCGGCGTTGGATGTTCTGCGTTGGATGATTGTCTGATTGTCCTGATTGTCCCTCTTGCGTTATGGCGTGGAATAACATAGTGCAGACCACGCTTCAAAATTGGGCATAAATCAAAAATATCTGTGTCATACCTGCGACAAGGTAACTGCGACACACTGCTGCGGGAGGATAACCTGCCCTTTAAACCTCATAAAAAGCTTTAGGCATATTTATTTAAAAGGAAAAGGAAATATGGCTGTTGTTGCTAATTTTTCAGGATAAAAGTTGTCCTGAAAGAGTTTCACCTGTTAAATAAAGATTAACAATATATATTTGGCTTCAGACTTGTCTGTTAGAGGAAGCTAGTTTTTAACGAAGAAGCACGAATGAGTTAGTAAAAAACTGACCCATAGCTAATTTCAACAGGTAACAGAAATAAGTCCAGCAAAGTGGCTTTTATTTATTGTTCTGAGGTTTTAACCTCTAATCATTAGAAAACATCCTGGATTTGGAAATAAGCGAATGGCTTTGGGCAAAAGTAAGGGTTTAAATTCCCAAATGATAACTCAAACTGCTTATCAGTTTCTACCGAATTAAAATCATTCAATTAGTAGTAAAGACTGTCACAAATTATATAAATAAATAAGAGCTGCACACAGCAGGATGACCCAAAAATATTTATTTTCATTGTGTCATTGAAAATTATTTAAAAAAATAAAAAAATACACAGCTGGTTGAATCTAGCATGTTTCTAAACATTAATCTTATTAGGTATTTTGGAGCAGTTTATAAATCGTCTGATTGTCTATGGGGGGAAAGTGAAGGAAGGATCAAAGCACAAGCTCTTAAACTGTAATAATTTTCAGTGGGAATTAGAAGAAGAAAAGTCAGAAGCCTCTTGTCCCAGTGCAGCATCTGTCATCATCACTCTGACCCATCTATGAAGAATTTTCATTCTGAAGCTAGATCTTGTTTAAAAAAGAACATCCATCTGATGCATATGCTACCTGACATTTTCAATATGAAACAATCCCCAGCGGGACTAATTGGATTAATTATAGAACAGTTCTTTGTAGCAGCATCCAATCCTTACTTATAATCTGTCTATATGTTAAAACTCGACAGTGTCATATATATATTACAAGCAAAGAACATGTTTTATAAATGAGAATTTGAAAGAATGCTATCAAGATATGCAACGTTAATAAAACTTCTTAATCAAAAATAAGGTTTTGAGAGTAGCTCTGCTGTTTTCTTAGATTTAATTTCCTTTGTTTATTTTTTTGGGGGGGTGTTGGCTAAGTGGTTAGAACAGTGGGCTTGTGCTCTGAGAAGGTTGGAAGTACCCGGTTTGATCCCCACGTCCTCCACTCTGGCACTTAACCGCACACTGCTCCCCGGGCGCCGCAAAATGGCAGCCCACTGCTTCCCCAGGGGAT